AACATAATCATCATGAGCATCATCATCCTCATCATCGGGACACTATCATCATCATCGACACCATCATCAACATCATCATCTTCATCGGGACACCATCATCATCATCATCTCATCATCATCATCAGCATCATCATCATCATCTCATCATCATCATCATCATCATCATCATTATCATCATCCTCGCGGGACACCGCGGGACACCGGCGGGACACCGCGGGACACCGCGGGACACCGCGGGACACCGGCGGGACACCGCGGGCCACCGGCCGCCCGGTAGGGAATAATTTGGTCCGGCCGCGCCTCAGCCACACGGGACTTTCGCGGGACACCGGCGGGACACCGCGGGCCACCGGCCGCCCGGAAGGGAGACATTTGGTCCGGCCGCGCCTCAGCCACAGGAGACTTTTTCTCGCCCGCCCACGCAGCTTCGCCTCGCCCGCCCGCACGGCACGCACGAACACGAAACCGAAATCGATTTCCCGGTAGGGGGGCTCTCCGTTCCACTTCGATCTCACCCCCTCACCTCCGACACACCGTGCGGCGCAAACATATTCCCAAACGAGACTTGATAATATCTCTGCATCGGATGGCAAAACGGAATCCCCTTCCCCAGAAGATCCACCCAACAACACGCAAACAACACCCCCAAGCCAGATATCATAGCATGACGACAACAACCGACCAAACGAACTCCCCCCCGTCTGGAACATCCACGCAACGTCGCGCAAACAGATCCCTCCAACCAACTTCAAGTGTCACTGTAGCAACCGCCAAACCAAATTCGTCCGTCCCACAATATCCGCGCGACGCCACGCAAACAAATCCCCCAACAAACGGCCAAACGACTTCGATCCCCTCCACCACCGCTAACCCACACAATATCCACGCAACGCCGCACAAACACAGTCCTGCAAAAACAAAACTGCCCCCAAAAGATAGATCCACGCAACACCACGGAAATACGCCCTCCCAGCCAGACATGAAAACATCACTGTGAACACTGGGAAATGAATTCGCCCCCCCAAAAAATACCAACGCAACGCCACGCAAACATATCCCCCCAGCACGCGACAAAACTAATCCTTCTCCACACGCACAATCCACGCACCGCCGCGCAAACAAATTCTCCCAGACGGACCTTAGAAAACCACTGCGCCGATTGGCAAAAGGAATCCCCCGCTCCCGCACGATCTACGGACCAAAATATTCCCACCGCCAAAACTTCAAATATCATTGCAGCGAACGGCAACAACAAATCCCCCCTTGTAGACTATCCACACCGCGCAACGCAAACATATTCCCCAGCGAAATCTTGGAACGTCTCTGCAACAAGCGGCACAACGAAATCCCCTCACCCACCCAACTATCCACCCAACACCACGCAAGCAACATCCCCAGGCCAGACCTTATAACATCACCACAGCAACCGACCAAACGCATCTCCGCATCGCAGCGCCGCGCAACCATATTCCCCCAACAAGCGACATAACGAAGTCCCCCCCACGGAATATCCATGCAAGGCCGCGCCAGCAACATCCGCCAGCGAGACCCTAGACGAGCACCGCATCAAATGGCCAAACGACCCCCCTGTTAAAATATCCACGCAGCGTCGTGCCAACCGATCCCCCCAGCCGGAAATTCATAGCACCACTGCAATCAACAGCATGAATTCTCCCCGTCCTAGAAGATCCACACAGCGCCGCGCAAACATACCCCTCCAGCCAGGCCTTTAGAGTTTCACTACAACTAGCGACAAAACTAACCCACCCCTTCCCACCTAGGTCCACGCAACGCCGCGCAAACCGATACCCCCCTAGCCGGACATCATATCATAACGATAACAAAGGACAAAACGAAACCCATCCCCCCAACATATCCACGCAGCGCCACGCAAACATACTCCCCAGTCAGATCTTCACCTACTGCGGCAACAAGCGACACAACGAACCACCCACACACAACATCCACATAGCGCCACGTACACATATTTCCCCAACCGACCCTTACACTTCCACTCCCACAAACGGCAAACAAGAGTCGCCCTTCTATCCACGCAGCAGCACGCAAACGACTCCCCTAGCACCGCAACGAACAACAACACGGACCCAATATCTCCCCGACAAGATCCACGCAACGCCGCGCAAACGTATCCGCCTGGTCGGACCTAATAATACCATTACAACGCACGGTGCGACACATCTCCCCGACCCAAAATCAACTCAACGCCGCGCAAACACATCCTTCCAGCCGGATAAGAGGATATCAGTACAATAAACAATCAAACTAACCACTCCTCCCCGAGAGTGGCCATGCAGCGCCACGCAAACAGACAGCCAGGCCTTCCAATACCACTACATCAAGCGATGGAAACGAATTCCCCCGCAAATTTTCCACAACGCGTGACGCAGTCAGAACCCTCAACGAGATACGACCACAACAACAAGCGACAAACCGAAACCCGCTCCCCAAAGATCCACCCAACGCGACGCAGATAAAATCTCCCCCAGCCCCCAACAAGCGACAAAAACGAATTTCCCCAGCCCATCACCATTAACCCATACAATATCCACGCAACGCCGTGCAAACAAAGCACCCTAGCCAGAGCTGAAACTCCGCCCCGTGCCTGCGGCACATTCAAGCATGGAAGAATTCCAAGGGCTGTCTGGCATGGTTGCTGTAGTCTTCTATAGGGACCCCCCATCCACCCCTCACGCCCAGGTGGCTGCACCACCCCTACTCCCGGGGGGGGGGTCCCTAGGCGGCCATGGCGCCTCCCTGGGGCTCTCCTCTCCAAGACGGTCCAAGATGGCCCCGAGTCGCCGAACAATCGCTCGAAGACGCCCAAGATGGCCTCAAGATGGCACAAGAGGGGGCTCCAAGACGCCCCAAGAGGCCTCCGAGAGGCCTCCCAAGAGGGCCCCCAGATGCAAACATCATTGATTTGCCTTCGGTTTTTTTAATAGGATTTGGGCGCTCTCGCCTTTTCGGCTTTCCGACGCCGCTCCAAGACGGTCCAAGAGGCCCCCAAGACTACCCCCAAACGGCTCAAGAGCCCAATAGGCCTCCAGGACGGCCCCAAGACGGCCTACGAGCGCCCCAAGACGGCTCAAGAGGCGCCCAAGATGGCCCAAGAGGGCCCCAAGACGGCCCGAAAAGGCGCTCAAGAGAGGAAACACGAACCGAAAATCCGAGCCTTCCGCCCAGAGAGGCCCCCAGGAGGCCCCAAGAGGCCCCCTAGAGGCCCCCAGGATGCCCCAAGAGGCCCCCAAGAAGCCCCAAAGAGGCTCCGAGAGGTTCCGAAACGGCCCCCAAGAGGCATCGAAACTGCCTCCAAGAGGCCCCCGAGAGGCCTCCCACGAGATCCCAACAAGCATCCCAGAGGCTTCACGCCCACAACTCAGGCACGGTGGCTGGACTCGCCGTAGGCAGCTGGATAGTACTGCAGACAATGACAACGCGAATTCACCCCAAAACATATCCGTGCAGCGCCACGCAAACCTATTCCCCAAACCGCACCGTAGAAGATTACTACAACGACCCACAAAACGAGTCCCCCCCCAAACTGTCCACGCCACGCCACGCAAACAGCGTGCCCCAGCCGGAGCTTCAAAGGCCACTGCAACCAACGACACATCGAATGCCCCCTTCTACGATATCCCCGCAGCGCCACGCATACAGATCCCCCCAGCAAGCGACACAACTAATTCCCCTCCGCACCCAACCCAATTCATCCACGCAGCGCCGCGCAAACACATTCCCCCAAAAGGACATTGAAATTACCTTGCGACACACTCAACCCTTTCTACACCTGTGGCGACGATACACAGGACCGATCAATACAAACGAACATGTTGAAAGACCCGCAGTGCTCGACGACTGTGGCGACAATTGCGCACTTAGCAGCCCCCTCAGGGAGCCGCGAGGTCTCGGCTGGGTGCGTTTAAACTCTCCTTCGCTGGACCTCCCAGGAGCCCACGTAAATGGCGACAATTGCGCAGATCGCAGCCCCCTCGCGAGGTCTCTGCTGGGTGCGTTTACAACTCCCCTCCGCTGGGCCTCCCAGGAGCCCACGAAAGCGGCGACGGTAGCGCAGATCGCGGCCACCCAGGGAGCCGCGAGGTCTCGACTGGGTGCGGGAGCCCACGAAACTGGCAGCAACTGCTCAATTCGCAGCCCCCCCAGGGGAGCCGCAAGGTATCGGCCAGGTGCGTTTAAAACTAAACTCCGCTGGGTGCGCTTTGCTTGATTTCTGAGGGGCTGCCCCTGCGTCGCAGTTGGCCGTTCCTGATCGGTTCTCTGTCCACTCCCGCTCGGTGCTCTGTGGCTGGTGCCCTATGCTTGCTCTGTCCATTGCTGTCGGCCGTTCCTGTTCAGCGCTTTATGGCCGCTCCAACTCGGTGTCCTATGCATTGGTGCCCCGGTGCTTTGGTGCCACATGATAAAAGCCAACCCAACAACCTACCAATCGAGTGCGCCAATCAATGGGAACGTCCTCGGTCAATCTGAGAGGCTTTGTGCACGTCGCAACACATTGAACATGACGAACCACATGATCAAACGTTAGTCCGCCGCCTCCACTTCCTCCTCCCTCCGTCTGCCTCCATCTCCCTCCATCCATCTACCTGCTTCTCCTCACGCGCTCTCCTCATCCTCGTCCTCTACCCCTCCTCCTTCCGTTCACTTGAACTCATCTCCAGTCCTCCCGTTCCCTTTCGTCTCCTCATTTCCATCGCTCTCTCATCTCCCTCCCTCTCCCCTCGTCCTCCCGTTCTTCTATCCCTACCTCCGTCCATTCCTCATACCTCATTTCTCCGTCCCTCCCTCTTCCTCCTTCTCCTCCCTCTTCCTCAGCCCTCCTCTTCCTCATTCCCCTCTCCCTCATACTCCAAAAGCTCCTCCTCCTCCTCCTCGTGCGGAATGGAGAAGGCGGCTCGAAGAGCCCAAGCAAGTGGCGCGAGAACCAGCGCGGGGGGCGTCTGGATCCGGCCGGACGGAGCGGCGGTGGATGTGCCGCAGGGCCACGAGCAGCTGCTTCGTGTAGGCCCGCACGGCCTTCAGTGACATGCCCTCGCCCTCGTGGCGGGCGCAGCGTCGCGCGTGCCAGAACGGACAGGGTGTCACGCGGACCAGATGTGGGGACGGCCCCGAACACCTCCCCGTTCTCCCCAGAAGCCCTCCTGCTGCTGCTCGTCCGCCAGCTCCTCCACCTCCCTCCTCCCTCCTCCGCCCTCCCTCCTCACTCCTTCTCGTCCCTCCTCCTTCCAACCTGCTCCTTCGTTCCCGTGTCCTTCCTTCGCTCTGGACGTCTCTCCGCCCTTCCGCCCTCTCCCCTCTCGCCCCCTCCGCTGCGCCATACCCCCTTTCACTCCTCCTCGTCCTCCTCGTCCTCCTCGACCCCTCGTCCCCTCCACGTCCTCCTCCTCGTGGATGTCGTCCTCCTCTCGCTCCTTCTCCTCCCTCCCCATGTTGTCCTGCCTCCCCTCCGCGTCTGCCCCCCCAGCCGATCCGTCGCCTTGGTGTACTTCTGCTGTGCAACCCTGAGGTTGTCCCACATGCACTCGAATACCTGGCCCCTGCCCTGATCAGCAGGGCAGGGGAACCGTGACGAAGGGGGGGAGCTGGATTAGGACGAAGAGGGCGAGAGTTGGAATGCAACTACTGCTGGACTGCCCAAGAATCCAGGAAACAACTAATCTGCATGCAACATGTAGAAACATAGGTGCTGCGACATACGTGAAACATGCTTCCGAAGCATGCTCGTATGAGTACCGTTCGCTGGATTAGCGAAGTGGCGCCGCCACGCCGCCGAAACAGTTTGTATTCGAGGTCACAAGTGCGATGGCAGCGGAGGCGGCGGTACGACGGGAAAGCAGAGAAGGGGTCAGAGGCAGCAGCAACGTCACTGGCAGGAACAACGATTCAAAGAAAACGACGACGGGACCGAAGAAACCCACGCATGAGGAGCAAGAGGGGGAGCAGGTGTGTGACATCGCATGGGGAATCACATTGGAGGAAGGGGGGTGCAGAGGACGGAAAGGGCGGCAACTGGAACTTGAATGGGGGCAGCGGCAGGAACAGCCTCGATGGGCCTGCTGAGAACGGGCTATTGGCGGGTGCGACGCGGGGGAGACAGAAACACGACGGGGACAGGGCAAGGAGGTGGCGGGCCCCGGCCGCATGAAGCCAATCTTTGCGACCCAAGCACTTATCCAAGCGTGTTTGCGATCCAAGCTGGAGCATTTGCAGCGCCTATTTGAAATAAGTAAAAATTAGGTGACCGAAATAGGCGAATCCCCTGGAGACATTTGCGGCGCCTCTTTGAAATATGTAGAAAGTACGCGGCAGAAATAGGCGAGATGCCCACCGACTTCGCGCACCTATTTTTCACACATGTGTTGCACATGTGTTGCATATTTGTTGCACGCAATGCAAGGCCACATAAGTAAGCAACACATGGAATCCGCGGGGCGCGCCTATTATTTCATTAAGCTATAAACCAAGCAAGGCGAACCGTACGCCCGCCGCGACCGGTGAACATGCCAAAACCTAAGCGCGACATGACGCGTTCCCCGGGGCAGCTGGCGGGGGCGAAGCAACACAGCGCGACGCCCCCGGGGGTCCGGCGACGGACTGCGGCTGCCCCAAGCACCATCTCGTTGAGACTTGGCTGCCCCGATACGCAACACGCAACACGTAGCGTATGGATACGGAGCTCAAAACACGTAGGACTGAAACGTGGGTCTGAAGCGATACGTCCGCCAATGCGTGGGCCAATACGTGGAGCCAACACGCAACGTATTGACACGGAGGTCTTGAACACGGGACGTGTTGCGCATCAAAACGGGCGCATCGAGGCAGCTAAAGCGCCTCTTCACGCCAGGAGGGTGGGGGGACGGGCGGGGGCGCAACGCCAAACGAGGGGCGCAGCCACGCGGGTCACCAGAGAGGCGGCGTGAACCCAGGAGCGGGGCAGCGCATCCCGCCGGCCCTGTCGGCGAAGGTCGTCTAACGAGTTCCTTACCTCTTCAAACAGAAGATTTCCCTGTCGGGGATGGGGGCGCCCCTTGTCTCGAACCCCCTTCTTGGGGGTCCGGGCTAAGGGGGCGGGGTAAACAGAGTGCCCAGGATGGCTCCAAGAGGGCCCCATGCGCCAAGATTCAAGATGGCCGACGATACGGCTCTAGATAGCCCGACAATGGTCAGGATGGCTGCAGAACGCATGATCGCCCTGGGCTGCCATGACAATCGCCTTTCCTTGCAAGGCAATCGCTGCGCGACGTATGCATCGCATTCGCCTGGAGCCCGTACACTATAACATTCCTATATTTAGATTACATGTGGTGAGTATATGTTGATAGCCATTTGTTTTCGCAACCTATTTTCTGGCCACTTTGAAACTATCCAGCATACCAGTGCCTTTCCATAGTAATCCAGAAGCCGCATTAAAGTGATCATTTGTTTTTTGGCCCCCCCTCTGTCACAGAGGGGGTCAAATATGCCCCCCCCTCTGTCACAGAGGGGTTCCCAGATGCCCCCCCTCTGTCACGGAGGACCTCGTTCTGGGTGCTCTTCTGCCACGGGAGCCCCCGATACGATTGGAGACGATAAAATGTGATAGCGGGATGGGGGATTGGAGGGGGAGGGAGAAGAAAACGATGAAGGAGAGGAGGCAACGACAGCACCGATGAAAGCACCGATTCTTTTTCCTTCTCCGCTCGGGCAGCGGTCGCCGAGCACGACGGCGCGCGCGAGTCGCCGCCGCTCACGATGCATTGGCAAGGCCTCCGCTGCTGCGGAGGGTCGACGTTCGGCCGATGAGGCCTCCCTCCGCTGCTGCGGAGGGGCGGCTCCTGTGCGATGGTTCAACTAAGCTTTTTCCAGGGATTGGTTTCGGGGGGGGGTTCGACCCACCTCCAAGTCGTGGTCGCGACCTCCCAGTGCCCCTGGCCGCTACTCCACCCACTGTGGCTGCTCCACCAGTCACTGGGGCGTTGGTCGCTGCCGAATGCAACTTGCATGTCGCGCCAGGCGGAGTCGACCATGCGGTCCTGCAGCGAGGAAGCCTCGCCGCTCGGCTGTTGCCACTCGCGCTCCTCGCCCTCCTTGGTGCGCCACCACTCATCCCTGCGCCACTCCTCGTCTGTTGGTTGCTGCCGTGGCGTTTGTGGCCTCCGCTGCTGCGGGGGCTCTGGCGGCTCGTGGCCGAGGGCAGCGATCGCGTCCGAGATGTAGATGGCGGCGCCGCGCTGCCCTCGCTGCTCCAGCGGCGCAGGCCCTGGAGATGGGCACTGCGGGGTCGGCTGCCACCTGGGGGGTGATAAATAATTATTTCTATATCCCCTCCCTGTCAACTCCCGCCCCTCCCCGACACTCATTTCCTTATGTCATCCCTCGTCCTGCTCAGCCTATTCCTCATTCCCTCTCCTCCCTCCTGCCCTCCCCGTGCTCCACCGCCCCTCTCCCCCCCTCCCCCTTTCAACCCCCCGCCGCGACCTTCCATCGCCAGCCGCGGGCATGTCGCGGCCGTCGTCCGCGCTTTCGTCTGCCCATCTTGGTGGGCGCCACGCCTGTTGGGCGCGCTCGTCTTGCTCGTCCCTCTCGCTGTGCTGCTCTGGTGCCTGGCGCTCGGGTCCGTGCTGCTCGGGCGGCAGCGGCGCCCTGAGCGCAGCTGCCAGCTGTTTCTGGGCGCGCCTGTCTTTCTTCTCTTTGGCTCTCTCCTGCTTCCTCCCCGGCGAACGCACGCTGGCCATGCGCATTTGGAACAGGAGAGGGTAGTGGGCGCCGCCGTGCCAGCGCCCCTCCACCTCCACGGTCTCTGGCGGGAACGTCTTCTGCAACGCGCGGAAGAGGGTCACCTCGCGATTACTAGAGAAGCGGTGGTCCCCTCTAGCCTCAGCCTCGGCGCGCCTCAGTTTCTCACTCTCCTTCTCTTGGATCTTGCGTTGGCATTCCTCTGACTGAGTCAGTAAATCCTGGAGGTGCTCGCGGGCGTCTTTTTTCGGGTAGTAGCAAGAGTAAGGCATCCCAGGGCCTCCGTTCTGGCTGTGGTGCCAGTACGTCGGCTGCGATGATGGGCTGGTGGCGGCCCCCGCTGCTGCGGGGGCCTCTGCCTTGCTTCTGTTACGGTACCCGATCTCACCGATCACCGACTTGCGTGCGAAGAGCAACCCCGTCTCGTCTCTGTCGTGCACGGCGCTCAGCGGCCAGCACAGGGTGTACTCGCCAGGCCTGTTGAGAACGAAGATGCCGCAGCTGTCCAAGCACGGAGTGCCGTCCAATCCGCGCCAGAAGTACGCTGCTGCCGTCTCCAATCGCATGCCTAGACCCCGAAGACTCGGCAGCGTCTGTGTGAGCGCCATGTTGAAATCCCCACAAAGGATGTCAACGCTGTTGTCCTGCAAGATGGTCGCCAACCTCGGCCACCACGTCTTGTGAGCCTCGTTAAAGCCTCTGGAATTTTTCGCCGTGTCGCGGTGGAGGTGCACCGCGCACGCCCGCACTTTCGAGCCGAAGTGGGCGTAGGTTTGATCGAAGTAGAGCTCAACCACCATGATCCTCGAGAACGCTTCCATCTTGCGCCCTCTTGCTGTTCTGTAGTGGCCGTCGACACTCCTTTCCCAGTGGAGCAGCCGCATTTCGTAACACAGATTTGCGCGCGCAGCGATGCACTAGGACTTGTCCTCACGCCCGCGCAGGGTCAAGTATTCGTACTCTGGTCGATTCTGGAGCTGTTGGCAATCGCCAACACTCGCAGCACGACTTCCTCTTGCTGTCGCCATCGCTGCTGCGGGGGCGACAAAAGGCCCACCGCTGCTGCTGCTTTGGCCCTCCGCTGCTGACGCCCCCGCTGCTGCGGGGGCGTCCGCCTGCAGCGGCGGTGGTCTCCCTGGCCGCTGTAGGATTGACTCCATCTGCTCCTCACATTCCGCAAAGCACGCCACGAGAGCAGGGCAATGCCGCAGCTGCAACTCAAGTCTCCGCCGCTGGTCCGCGTGGTTGGTCTCGCTCGGCATGGGGCCCCAGTTCCCGAACAGGACGGAAAGGTTGCCCACGTTGTCGTTCCGTGGCCTGTTCACGTCAGCCGCTCTTCTTTCGCAGAAGAACTTTGGCGGGACGGTGTCGCGAAGACGGCGTTCGCGCCGCTCGACGTCGTTGGGCGGCCTGCAGCCCCTAAATTCCTGAGGCTCTTCGTCGTCGCTCGGATCCACCACGGAGTCGCCTGGGCGGGTGCGCATCGTAGAAACTTCTGATCGCGCCGCCGCTGCTGAGCTTGAGACGCCAGGCCGCGCAGCCCCCGCTGCTGCGGGGGTTCTCTCTGGCACAAGGGCCCAAGGACCCTTCCAGGGTTCTGCCTGACCACCTACAGGTCGCCAAACCTTCCCAGATTTCGCTGTGAACACTGCCGTCAGTCGGCCCCGAGGCCCCGCTGCTGCGGGGCCCAATGGGCTGCTGCTGCTGCTGGCGGCCGCGGCCATCGCTCCCTGCCCCCGCGTTGCAGGGGGGGCGGCCGTCAGAGCCGAACTCCTGGGGCCGAAACGGCGGTGGAAGGAGGGGGGCGGGGCGAAG